TTATAGTGGTAACAAATGAAAAGCATGGGGACTCATCGAAGGAAAATTATGAGGAGCCGCCGGGAGTAAGCGGCGAACAGAGACCTCTTTTGTATGGAACCATTTCAAAAAATGTGCAGTCGGCCAAGAGGCCATATGCAATCATTGCGGATCAAAATTAAAAACCAAAGGTAACACGAGTAATCTAATACATCACCTAAAAAACATGCATAAGCATTATGATAAATTAAAGAAGCTTGATTCTGAGCGTGTTTTGCCAACAAATCTTGAAAGTTTCTTAAACAAAGTAAAGTACTACGAAAAAGACTCAACTCAAAAGATCGCAATTGATCATGCGATATTGCGCATGATAGCCGTAGATTCGCAACCATTATACCATGTTTACCAACATCGATGTTTCGATTTTTTTGGGGGAGGAACATCGATGTATCTATGCATCGAAATTCCACTAACAAATTTTCAAATTTTCGTTTTGATTTGTCTTATTTATAAAGGTACAAAAGGTTTTAAAGCAAACGATATTTTTATAACTTCAAATAATAAACTAAAAACAAGAGAAAGTATAACATAAAAAATTATAGTTAATGACTAATTTCAGATTGATGTGATTGTTGATCCTTATAAATAGGGCACTTTATTTTGTATTGTCATCTTATTCATAAAGTTAAGTTTTCTTATATAATACGAACGGTTTCAACAAAAAACAAGAGAGAACGCTACAGTCGAGCAAGCCCGACAGTGTAATACCCTGTACCCAGGTAAACTTCCGTCACTGAGTTATATGCGCCCATAGCAGCAGCAAAAAGAGGAAGAAGAAGAGCGAACTTGTTGCTGCAGTTTGTGGGGGTTGTACTGGCGAGAATTTGTTTCGCTAATAACTTTTCTTAGAATTGACCGAAAATTTTATACAACAGTAGACAATTATATATAAATTATGTGTGCAAAGTTTGGTTTAGGTAGCATTTGAAATGTAGACGCTATTGACGAAATTCTGCAGCGGGGGAAGGGGGGGAAAATTAAAAAAAAAAAAAATAAACTCGTCCTTACTCGGACCTAGGAGAATCTGGATGCCAACTTTGGTTATTCTAGCTTTTATAGTTTCTGAGATCCTCGCGTTCATCCAGACGGACAGACGGACGGACATGTCTAGATCGATTTCTCTCGTCATGCTGATCAAGAATATATATACTTTATGGGGTCGGAGATGCTTCCTTCTGTATGTTACATACTTTGCACAAACCTAATATACCCTTTTTACCCTACGGGTACAGGGTATAACAATATTTTATAATTCAAAGAATACAAGTATAACAAAATAAAAAGCATAACATAAAAAAAAATATATAATTCATGACTAATTATTTGAGATCCACTAATTTTTATACTCTGTACATGAAATGTACAAGAGTATATTAGGTTTGCGGGAGCTGAAAAATGTAACAGGCAGAAGGAGGCGTGGCAGACCCCACAAAGTATATATATTCTTGATCAGCATGACGAGACGAGTCGATCTAGCCCTGTCTGTCCGTCTGTCCGTCCGTATGAACACCTGGATCTCAGAGACTATAAGAGATAGAGACACCAAATTTTGCACGAAGATGCGTTATGTGTGTATTCTATACGAGTTTGTTTTATTTTTTTGATTTTCCCCCCCACTTCCCCCCTATGGGGGTTTTCCCGATTTTCCATTCGTATAATCGTCTATATCTCGGAGACTATAAGACCTAGGAACACCAAATTTTAGTCCCAGATGCCTTATGTGAATACGCAGAAAATGTATATTTTGGAATTCCCCTCCCTCCCCCCTCTACCCCGCAAATCGTAACTCCCGTAATTCTTGGAATTTCGAACTAAAATTTTGGAAATACCCCCAGTTGGTTATTATGTGTCCGCATGCCAAATTTCATTATGATAGACCGATTTAACAAGAAGTTATAGCCATAAATATTTTTGCTGATGCAGCGCTGCTGCAGCGCTGCTCAAGCGCTGCCCGTGGCTGTTGTTGATGTTGCTGTTCGGTTGACTGCGAAAATGCTTACACAGACACGAATTGATGCGCATAGGCATACATACACTCACACAGACGCAATTGCTATGTAAATGTGCAATTATACACCCTTTACGTGAGTTCGAATACCGAGAGAGGTAAAATCGATCAAATTTTTTTTTTATTTTCTTAATTTTTTTTATTTTCTATAATTATTGTAAACATATGTACAGAGTATTTCAAAGTCGGGACACCCGACTTTAGCTTTTTTACTTGTTGTTAATAAAAATGAGCATGTCTGTATTATATTATAGGGATGTACATCAACATCGATGTTTTCCCTTCGATGTACATCCCTATTATATTAGGGGTTTTATTCAAAAAATGCAAATTATAGCTTTTCCCGCGATTTTTTTCAAGTAGTAAAAAACATCGAAAATCGGAAATAAAATATCGATATTTGGAAAAATTACAAAACATCGATGTATCGATTTTACATTTCTATAATTATTGTAAGCATATGTACAGAGTATTTCAAAGTCGGGACACCCGACTTTAGCTTTTGTACTTGTTGTTTGATTGGCCTGCATATTAATTTAAAAATATTTGGTAAAAATGTCAGTTGGCATTCAAATCAAATTAGTTTAAAAATGTTTAATTTAATTTAATTTATGTTCGTGGTAAAAATGTCAGTTGACCAATTGGCCGATATGTTATATGAAAATATGTACATTTAAGGGTTTCAAAATCTTGTAAAATTTGTAAAACTGGTGTAATTACATAAATAAAAATACATATACATATATTTATATGTATCTATGTATGCACATCTTTTTATAATTCAATAAATACTGTTTTTTCTTTTTTAATTCGCCGCTCAAATTTGTTACCGATCTAATAATGTCTATTAAAAAAAGTAAGAGAATTAAAAAAAAAAAATTCATCGATTTTACCTCTTTTGGTATTCGAACTCACGTAAAGGGTGTATAATTACACATATACAAAGCAATTGCGTCTGTGTGAGAGTATGTATGCCTATGCGCATCTATTCGTGTCTGTGTAAGCATGTTAACAGTCAACCAAAGCACCAGCATCAACAACAGCCGCGGGCAGCGCTGCAGCAGCAAATATATTTATGGCTATAAATTCTTGTTAAATCGGTCTATCATAGTGAAACTTGGCATACGGACACATAATAATATAATTTGCGTTCGAAACTTCAAGAATTACGGGAGTTAGAGAAAATCGCGGTTTGCATTTTCTGCGTATTCACATAAGGCACCTGGGACTAAAATTTGGTGCCCGTAGGTCTTATATTCTCCAAGATATAGGCGATCATACGAATGGAAAATCGGGAAAACCTCCATAGGGGGGAACTGGGGGAAAAAATCAAAAAAATAAACTTGCACAGCGTACACAGATAAGGCATCTTTGTGCAAAATTTGGTGTCTCTATCTCTTATAGTCTCTGAGATCAAGGTGTTCATACGGACGGACAGACAGACAGACAGGGCTAGATCGACTCGTCTCGTCATGCTGATTAAGAATATATATACTTTGTGGGGTCTGCCACGCCTCCTTCTGCCTGTTACATTTTCAGCTCCCGCAAACCTAATATACTCTTGTACATTTTATGTACAGAGTATAAATAGGAAATAGTCGATCAACAAAATTGCTTCTGCATAAATACAAGTTGAGGTAGGTCATGACAATGCCAATGCTACTGTCTGCATATGAACACTACATTTGCACACATACGTATGTATGTGTGCTTTTATAGGCATTCTTAGAAACCCATACACTGTTGACAAAGTTCACCTGCATACGCATGCGACAGAAGATGGCAACAGTGTATGAAATTCTCATGCCCATGTAGCAGGCGAAATCTGAAAACGAAAAGCGAAGCTACTGCTCGCAAAACAGCAAAAGAACAAATGCATATAAACGTATACATGTATATATGTGCACGCACACATTCAATGAGCATAAGCGGCACAGATCGACCGTCGCTGTTGACTGCCTCTCTGCGAATGAAATGAAATTCGCTCACAGAGAGCACGAATGCGACAGCATCAGGCGATGCTTCTTCATTATTTTGTAATCACTCTCTTGTATTCAGTTCTTAATAAAAGTTCGACCGAAACACTACTCAGTCGTATATTATTTTATAACCTCCCAACATAAAAGCAATTTTCAACATAATTTAAAGCATACAGAATCGCGAAAGTATACAGTATAAATTTTTATACCCTGTACCCGTAGGGTAAAAAGGGTATATTAGGTTTGTGCAAAGTATGTAACATACAGAAGGAAGCATCTCCGACCCCATAAAGTATATATATTCTTGATCAGCATGACGAGAGAAATCGATCTAGACATGTCCGTCCGTCTGGATGAACGCAAGGATCTCAGAAACTATAAAACCTAGAATAACCAAAGTTGACATCCAGATTCTCCTAGGTCCGAGTAATGACGAGTTTATTTTTTTTAATTTTCCCCCCCCTTCCTCCGCTGCAGAATTTCGTCAATAGCGTCCACATTTCAAATGCTACCTAAACAAAACTTTGCACCCATAATTTATAAATAATTATCTACTTTTGTTTAAAATTTTATTCAATTCTGTCAATTCTAAGAAAAGTTATTAGCGAAACAAATTCTCGCCAGTACAACCCCCTCCAAACTGCAGCAAAAAGTTCGCTCTTCTTCCTCTTTTTGCTGCTGTTTTGGGCGCATATAACTCAGTGACGGAAGTTTACCTGGGTACAGGGTATTACACTGTCGGGCTTGCTCGACTGTAGCGTTCTCTCTTGTTTTATACTCTGTACATGAAATGTACATTATGTGTGTACGAGTTTTTATTTTTTTGTTCTCCCCTTATACCTTATGCTGATGTGAGGTCTGATTTTATAATATTTTGAACATTAAAACTAAATAATTTGAACTTATCAAACTCAGTTTGACCAAAGTAACTCGCGTTGAAGTTGATGTCAAAACTGTTAAGTAATACAAAATGGTTAATCTTTGTTATTTCAAAAGTCATTTATTCATATTAGTAACGCTTGTTTTCCTGAGAGTTGTGTCCAGAATTTGTAAACTTGTATTAGATGGGTCGTAGCCCAGACGACTTTGGGAACCACTGCCTTAAAGAATAAGGTACATATCAACGGACCTTCATATGAAAATCAAAAAATTTCCCGCTGGTAAATATAACTGGCCACCAAGACGTATCAAGATCGAGGACCTAATGTATATGCAACGCTATTCATTGTCATCTGCTCCGCTGTCTTCAAACTACTTCAGAAAATAAGAAAGGCCCCTCAGCAGCGCATCCTACAATCATCGAGGGCTTTAAGAAGTGTGAGGAAGTCCTTTATCAAAATGAGAGAGAAGTTAACCCAAAAATTCCGGAACAATAAAATGCAAAAAGAATAAATTGTAGCTGCGTTTAGATTAAAAAACAACTCTGTCCGCGAGCACTTACCATATGCTTGTGCAACACAGTACGAGTTTAACAATAAAATGAAAATACAAACGGTACCTGGAACACCTTTGTAGCAAAAGCTGCTTAGTCTAGATGGCTTTTATAGTTATAACTTTCCTTAGTTCAAATTAGAACTGACCTAACTGAAACTTGCCATTTGGACACATGAGCACTAGCTAGTGCTGTAATTGACAAAATTAAGTAAACAGTTCCAAGAATTCCGATGCACATTATATACATACATACATAAGAGATTGTAAATAAAAGAGTAGATTTTAACTGCATATGGCATTTGATTTTTGAATTGGTTTTTGAATCGGCAGGAACAATTTGAACTCTGGCGGAAGCTCATCCTCTGAGTAAAGTCGGTCCGAGAAATAGACGCGTCTAATGCGGCAGTTCGCGTGTATTTGTACGCGCAAGGTCTCGACGTAGTTTGTGCCATAGGCGCGACGCGTAAAATCCGACAAGTTAAACTGAATCTGATTCCAACCTTCATCTAACCGCATCGGCATTGTACATATAAACGGCTTTACACGAGTTGTTGACTGATAGTTGCTGGCACGAAAGCGACGTCTCACATTTTTGTCATCCAAAACCTATAAAACATATTTTTAAAATTACGGATACTAACGTGTTTAAAAAGATAACTTTACCTGAACTTCAAACGTAAAGTACTTCTTCATGTTTTTTATAATCATTACAAGAAAAGGAAGCTTAATGCCGAGTGTTTTTTTTGGATCGCTGGGGCATGTTATAAATGTGGTGCTCACATTAGTACCAACAATTTCAAGAACTAGGCTTTGAATATCATTGTCTGTTATTCGTTTAATATGACCGTTTCTAACTTTTTTGTCCCACAATTGAAGTGGTTTCGAGCCTATGCTGTATAAAATGGATAGGAACCCGGACTGGAAGGTATTCTTAAACATCACGTTGCTCTAGCTCGTGACGAATTCCTTAAAATATTAATTAGAGAGTCCACCTTTGCCGGTTAAAAACAGTTGTTATGAAAAGATACAAAGAATACCCGTAAAATTTTCTCAACACAAAGGGGTGTGTTATCCATGAAATAAGGGCTGCAGTAGACATCATTAAGAATTTTTAAGTGTGGGTCAAAGTGGCAACGATAGATATACATTTTGGAACACTGGAATTGGGACCAACGTTTTCCCACCTTTGATTTCAAGCAATATTTACCTCATGTAGTGCGTCAATGTTCTGTTAATTGAGAGTTCACGTCCGTCAGAAAATATCTAGAGTTCCAATTACGTAAGTCAGTTTCGCTCCACAGTAGTCCACGATTAATGCTGCTTAAATCCCTTAAGTATACGATTTGGTCAGACAGATGTTGGTTAAATTCATTGAAATCTCGATTTCTCTTTACGAAGTTAAATCCTCTCCCTCATTGACTCACAAAAGTTCACGCCGTTGTTTTCGGAAAGGCGATTTTAATAAGCTCTTTAAGAGCCCTTTTTGATGTCTGCATTCCGTTGTACCATCTTCTTCAATAAGCCTCCTTGGTTTAATCGGAAACTTTCCACTTTAAAGAATAGGAAATCTAGGTATTTTAAAAAGTTCAAGCAAACTGGATCTTCTTTGAATTTTTCAAAATACTCCATAGCCAAATCGAACTTTCTTCTTCTGAATTCTCAGTGTTACAATGAGTATCTTGAGCGCTGTAAAGCTCAATTTGTCCAAGACCCTAAGCAGTTTTACAATTTTGTGAACTGCACACGTAAATTGTCAGCTTTGCCTTCTTCTTTTTTTCTTCATAATGAAAATTCAAGCAATTATTCGGCTATTGTTGACTTATTCGCTAAATTTTTTCAGTGAACTTATTCATCTATTAGTTTTAATGGTGATTCATACCCTTATAAAATTCCTTATTCTAATTATATTTTTTCACCCATAATTAGCAGTTCCTGCATTCTGTCAGGTATTAAGACAGTCAAATCTTCATACTCTCCTGCGCCAGACAACATTCGCAGTTGAGCACACGCTCAACGAGTGTTCTACCTCCCTATGCCAACCATTGCTGGAACTTTTCAATTTGTCGCTTGACACTGCAGTTTTTCCGCTCCACAAAAAAAGGATGCAGGGCAGACATTTCAAACTACTGAGGTATCGCTAAATTGTCCGCCATTCCTAGATTATTTGTTAAAATATTCACTTTGAAGCATCTGTGTAAGTCGATTATCTCCCCTACTCAGCATGATTTTATCAAATATCGTTCAACAACATCCAATTTGTTGGAATTTACATCATTGATAAGTGATGCATTCCTAGCTAAAATGCAAACTGATGTTATTTATACTGACTTCAGTAAGGCATTTGATTCAGTGAATCCCAACTTACTCCTGTTGAAGCTTGATCGTATTGGGTTTCCTTCCAATTTTTATACCCTGTACCCAAAGGGTAAAAGGGTATATTAGTTTTGTGCGAGTGTACATGGAACACACAGCAGGAGGCGTTGCAGACCCCACAAAGTATATATATTCTTGATCAGGATGTCCGTCTGTCTGTCCGTCTGTCTGTATCAATGGAAGGATCTCAGAAAGTATAAGACCTAGAATAACCAAAATAACTATCCAGATTCTCCAAAGCCCGAGAAAGGACGAGTTTGTTCATTTTCTGATGCACCCCCACTCCCCCCCTATTAACCTATAACTCCCGTAATTCTTGGAATTTTGAACTAAAATTTGGTAGTCACACCCAGGTAGTTATTATATATCCGTAAACCAGTTTCATCATGATAGGTCAATCATTAAGAAAGATATAGCCATAAATAAAATCGCATGCTCTGCCTGCAGCTCTACCCCTAGCTGTTTTTGTTGCTGCTTTGGTTCAACTTTGTGCTGCATACATACACCCATATAAACACGCAGAGGCAAGATTCTGATGTAAATTTATTATATGCATGTGTTGTTATACTTAATTTAATTAAATCATTACATTAATTAACTTTTTTTAAATAATTTTTTCAATGTTCCTTTGTGTTCCCATTGTGTTCCCACTCTTTTTATAAATGACCTTCTTTCTATCCTGTCACATTCTCACATACTGATGTATGCTGACGATGTGAAGCTTATCTATATATATATATATATATATATATATATATATATATATAAATTATATATATATATATATAAAACAGTTTGTCCTGACTGACTGATTGGTGATCAACGTACAGCCCAAACGGTAAAAGCTAGGAAGCTGAAATTTGGACTTAAGTATCCTTTCATAATGTAGGTGCCCACTAAGAAGGGATTTTTGCAAAATTTGAGCTCCAAAGGGGGAAATCGAGCTCCAAAGTTTGTTTGAAAATTCTGCATTTCTGCACCGATCAACTTTAAATTTGATTTTTATAATCTATAAAAGAATACAAACAAAACTGCATACTCAGTTTTCGAAATATGTGGTGGAGCTAGAATTATTGGGGTTTTAATATTTATTCACCTTTTCAAAAGAAAAGTTTGTGTTAAAAATTTTTTCCGATCGATTTCAAATTTGGGGACTGTAATCTACGTAACTAAATCTATAACTTTGCGTTCAAGGATTTTCAAAATATGCGTTTTACAAATGCAGGCAAAACCAACAATACAAAATATCAAACAGTTGGGGACAACTAAGTATACATACACACACACACACACACATACAAGCAGCTGTTCGTGTAGTTGCGTGCAACCGATATAAATAGCCAAAGCAAAATGTGAGACACTAATGTGTGAACACACAGAACAAGCAACAGTTCGTGTCTATGTGTGCGGTTCTCTACGTACGGTTGAAAAAGTAAAGAGAAACATGCATGCATATGTACATACATATGTATGTATGTATGCCTGTGTACGTACATATGTATATAGCATGTATGTACATTCGTATGTATGTATGTATACATTGGACAATCGAGCACTGTTATTTGATTGTAATAAATAATGTTCTATGGTTTTTAATCAAATTTTAAAAACGAAAAACAACAACAACTGCAAGTTATTGGTTCGCGCTTTACGCTCATTTACGCATGTTAATTTCAAAGGCAAAGTGCCAAAAGTTTACAGTTACCGTCGCTAGGCAACGACTGCGTAAGCGATAGTAAAGCAGAAACCGAAAGCGGACCTACGCATATTCTGCTTCGCATTACGGGCAGATGTACATATGTATGTTTGTATATGATTTGTTCTAATTGATCTCAATAAATTATAAGGTGTTATTATTTAAATTTTCTGGCAATTGCATTCAAACTTCGATGGAATTATTGATTGTATCGAAGAACTTAACTATCGATAGTTTCGATGCTCTAGCAAATAGAGCATCCGACACATGCCCATCTCTAGCATCTCAGCTGATCGCATATTTACAGCGACTTACCGCTTTAGTGTTAGCTAACAACGCTACAAATGTATTCTGAACAAATCTAAGAGTCATTTACCGTTATGCCTATTTTGTGAGTGTAACACACATTTTACATTCACAACAATCATATTTGGAATTGAAGACACAAATTAGTGTTGAATTAAAAAATTTAATACATACTTGTTGCGGCAGTTCGAGTTTTCCCAGCGCCGCCCAGATTATCGAACTACCTTTGGTGTTGATGTAGGCGAATATTTATTTATAAAGCTCTCAGGTAGAGTTGATGGATGTGCGGATGTGCCTGGGCGACACTTTAAATTCCTAAGGAATTACAAAATTATAATATGCTTATGATCTAGAGCCTGTTCTTACTTTTAGTCCGCTTCCTCTCGCTGCAGAATTAAAAAGAACAAGCCAACGTGGTTTCTTGGTTATGGTAGCGCTAGCCGCTTCCAGTCCCTACTTTCCATTATCGGTTTTACTTATTATCGATGACATCTTAAAGCGATGCCAGATCTGTCGTAACACTCCCCCCCCGGTATATTCCGGTCGGGATCTACCTTATCCACTCCAATAGACAGAACTGCGAGCTTTGCAGCTGGCCTCACATAAATGCCGTTGGCCGTTTTTATTGTGGCACTTCGTACTTGAATTTCGAACTCTTCTCACCACCGCCCTGATGCGTGGTACCCAAAACTGCTGTCACATCTCATTCACAACCGTCTCGTGATTAGCGTGATGGAACCTCGCGTGTACATCGTACACAATCAGCATGGTGATACGGGTTTCTTTCGGCAATATTACAGGATCAGTTCCTCCATACAGCTTTACTCGTCCTTTCAACCGTAGTACTCCTCTGTCGTCCATATACGCACACATCTTGTATAGTGGACTGGATCTATCTATACGGTGACCCTTCTTGAGTGCTGCCTTCTCACTGCTGTAGTATTCATCTTGTGCAAAGACCCACAATAAGCATTCTGCGGCTTCTTGATCTTCTTGTGTCAGCAACTCTGTACGTTTTCCTTTGGTCAGAGCCGCATATCTCCATTTTCATGCCGCAAATATTACCATTGCAACACTTCTCATTAATCGTCGCCACCTTGAGAACCGAGTAATGTTGATCAGGCCATTGCCACTCGATAAATCGGCATCCTCGCACACTCCCACAAATTGTGCGCGCAGTTCTTCACTTGTGGTTTCTCGTTTTATAGCAGGTTCCGTGGGCCATTCCTGTGGCTCCTGTCTTAGGAACGCCGGCCCATTCAGCCATCGGCTGCTACTCGAAAAATCGGGTGTCTTCTGCCACTTAGTGGCTTCATCGGCTACGTTTTCATTGCTCGGGACCCAGCGCCATTCGGATATTTCGGTTAGATCTAATATCTCACTTACCCGAAATCCAACGAACTGGCGGTACCGCCTGTGATCCGATCGTAGCCACGATAGCACCGTGCTAGAGTCTACCCAGAATACTCGTCTGGTAAACTTCGTGTTGACTGTTGATTCGATTACCTGCGCGTAACGTGCTTCGATTGTTGCGGCCTGCAACTCAAGCCTTGGCACTGACATC